AGAAAGACTCTGGCCGCAAACTGCTCAAGAAGGACAAGGACAGATACGAAGAGCTCTATGCGAACAAGAAAGCACGGAGGCAGGCTGAGAAGGACGCGGAAGCTGCCAAAAACGCTGAGATCGCAAAAGATGAGCCTGCTGCAGCAGATGAGGCGAACCTGGTTGACCCTCTGGAAAAAGACCTTGCTAAACTCGACGCCAACGAGCTCGATGAGCTTGATGCGTTCTTGTCTGCCCCTCCAAAGGCAGCCCCCACACCGAAGGCAGCAGAAGTCGATCCGTTCAGTTTCTGGGGTGCATCCAAGAAGCCGACTAGCTCTTCCAAAAAGGGTAAGAGTTCGGCGACTGAAACTGTAAGTCCATGCAACCCTCGCGAACCCCAGCACGTCTCATTTCCACAACACCAATTTTCAGCCACCGCGTTGGCGTTGGCGTTTACTTCATCTCAGTCGGCTGCTGCCGAGATTGCGCATGCTGAGTCATCGTCATCCTGCAAGCTTCTCGAAGCTGCCACGCCTGTAATAAGGGGTGGTACCAATGACAAGGCGAAAGATGTTTTGATCACTGGTGGTTGGTTCTCTACGCAGAATGATGCGGTGCTGTCGCCGTCGCAACCACTGGTCGTCGAGCAAGCCAACGGCGGAACCCAATATGACGAGCCAACACCACCAGTTGAACCAATGAAGAGAACGTCCGGCGTATCAAAGTCCAAGATTGCTGACAGATTGAAGGCCTTCGAGGCAGTACCACCACCGCCTCCACCGGCCCCTGCGGATCTTATTCCGCCGCCGCCGCCACCTCCAGCTGCTCCGGTTGAAGAGAGCAAAAGCAAGCGGAAGTCCAAGAAAGTCGACATCCCTGGCAGTTTTCCTGACGAATATGAAGAAGGCCATCCGGACGATATAATCGAGGTCATCGAGATGCCTGTGAGAACCAAGAAGTCCAGCAGCAAGAAGTCTTCCAAGGCCAAGTCCGACGCCGTGCCAATTCCCATTCCTCCACCGCCCCCAGCCGTTCCCGATGCGCCGATTCTCCCACCGCTTGAAGCCAAGAAGGAAACGAAGAAGGAGCGGCCAAAGATCAACCGCGACGGCGGATCGAGTTGGGGCACATGGACGGCGACGACACCGCAAAAAGACAAAAAAGCTTCTTCAAAGTCAAAATCCGCGGACGAGCCCAAGAAAGCGCGCAAAGAGCGGTCGCCTGAGAAAGAGGACAAGTTGTCTTCTAAGGGGTCATCATCTGACAAGGCTGAACGCAGTGCGAAAAAGGAAAAAGACATGGAAACTTCACGCCCAAAGCTCAAGAGTGTCTTTGCCAGCACACCTCCAATTTCTCGGTCCACCTCTACTCGCGAGAAGCGCCACAAGGAGGGTAGATCTTCGCGTCGTCCTTCCATTGATGTTGCCAGTGGTCAGGTCTCGCCTCCACCAGAGGAAATGCCGGAGGTAGGCTCTAAGGCAGCAAAAATCCTGGGAATAGGTCTCGGTAGATCTGCAAGCAAGCGCAAGAATAGCTTGCGACCGGCTGAAGATGAAGATATCGTCATGGTCGGCGCAACGGATGCGGAGAGCCCGGAGAAATCTTCGCGCCGGCGGACTTCGAAGGTAAGATTCTCACACACACTGGATAGTACGCCGAAACGGTACGCTGACGATGCGACCGTACAGTCATATCACCATGACGATGATATTGTCATGGTTGATGTAGCCGACGCTTCCCCGGCTCCAGGCCTGAAACGCTCCAACACCACCGGATCTACCAGGAAGGGCTTTGGAGGCCTCTTTGGTGGTATTTTAAGCAAGCCCCCGGCTGAGCTCAAGCGACGGAATACTTCACATACCGATGGCGAAGACGCAGGCGCTGCGACAGACGCTGATGCGGAGGCACGCAAGGCTGCTCGCCGTGCTCGCCGCGTTGAGAAGGAAGTAGCAGAGAAGTCCAAGGACGAGATACGTCGCGAGAAGCGCCGCAAACAGGAGGAAGAGGCTGAGGCACAACGTCAAGCAGATAGAGAAGCTCGCCGCGCCGAACGTCGAGCTGCCCGCGAACGCGAGGCCGACAGGCGCAAGGTTGACGAGGACAAAGACGAACGTCGCCGCCGTAAGCGCGCTGAGCGTGACAAGGAACGTGAGGGCCTCGAGACTGGAGCCGAAGACGCAGAAGCCGAAGCTCGAAGAGTTAGGCGTGAGCGGCGGAAGGTTCGAGCTGGTGAGAGTGACAGAGAGACAGACGCGGATCGTCGCCGACGCCGGACGGAGAAGCGGGGTGCACGAGAAGCTGAAGGCAGGATCCCCACACGTCGTCGTACAGAGCCTGTGGAGGACGACTTCGTCTATCCACGCCCTACCAAGATCTCTCGCCGACATACAGACGGCCTTGCCAAGGCTGCGGAACCACCCGCTTGGCCACACTCAGGCACTTCGAGCTGGGTCAAAGATCACAGCGATGCTGGTCCACCGCCTGATGACGGAGGCATGACCACGGAAGTCCCGGAAGACGGGGAAGGTGATGAAGACGCTGCACGTCGGGAAAGGAGACGCCGGAGAAGGTATGGGGATGTCGAGGTTGGTGGAGATGACGAGAGGAGGAGGAAACGGCACGAGGATCGGAGTGAGGGTAGTGATGAACGTCGAAGGGAGAGGAAGGGGTCAATGTTTGCGGATGGCGTTGGCGCAGGTAGAACTAGCAGTGGTGGGTTCGGGGGGCTGTGGAAGAAGTTGACTAGAAATTAGACCTCGGGGCCATATCTTGAGAACCAAGGGGGTCAACGGAAGGCGATGGACATAATGAGCTGATGACTGAAGAAGGAATTAGGCAATGATATGACGGCTGGCATTTGGTATGGGAACTGGCATACGGAGCAAGCATACTGCGCTGTGGTGTGCTAAGGGCATATGGGTCTGCACGTAGCTTTCGGATACCCCCTGTTTTTACATCGATATTTTCCTGCCTTGAATTGATACCAATTTTTTCCACTCGATTCTCAAGTCTTGCATGCTTTATTCGGGTTTGAGTGACTCCAACAATCAATGCTCCATGTTCCGATACCATCATCATACAGGCAAGTTTATCAGCAAGCCACAGACCCGGTCGGCGAAGTACCTGGTGTCACCCAGGTAGATAGATCGTGCCGCTGAAAGTCTTCCTAGGCAAACCGACTCGACTGTTTTCTTCAGGCAGGGACCTCGGTCAGTTCAGAGCTGTGGCCCTGGTAACTCCAACTCTACCATGGCTGACTACCTATGCCGCTGGGAATCTGCTTTACTTCTTTGTCTCCAGTCGCATATATTACCCTGTTCGTCTTCTCATTATGGCTAGGCTCTGCATATTCTCATTACCACGACCATACTTCTACTGGGCTACGTCGACTTACCGGAAACGATGTGGCCGCTGCTTGACTACACTCGCTTTCAGAGTCGAGAGTGCCGTCAACACGTGGACAATGTTGTCTCTTTCACAGGCTTATGAGCAAGTGCCTCAAAGCCCTATTCTCTTTGTCATACATTCGGATCATGAAACAAGATGTCCAAGGAGGCTTAGACTCAGGTGTACCCGTTTCTCGCGAGCTTCTTGCGAAGTCTGGTACTCAAGAAGGATCAGGCAGGTAGTCGTGTCTCGCAGCTTTTGAGCACCATTCGAGTTTCCGAACAGGCATTGTATTACGGACCTCATATGATCGATCTATCAGGACACATCAACCGTAAAGATTGTGTTGGTTTTAGTTATTCCTGCGCTGTGGTACCTGATATTGACATTCAATCTGCTCGGTGGACGCCTGCGCGCAGAGAGGCTATGTGGGAGGCGATGGGGAAGGAGATTGAGCGCCTGGTTGAGATGGACTAAGTTTGGGAGGCATGAGGAGCCCGCGTGGGACAACTTGGGTATTAATTAGCAGATATCACAGCGTCAATCAACAGTCTAGGAAGAGCTCTCGTGATGATATTCGGGATATGTGTCCCGGTAACCCAGCAGCATTTTCCCGATCAAAACACCTCCAACGTAGTTCAATACGAGGCCAACCATCTTTGAAACTATTTCAGGACCGGGAACAGCAAGTATTACACCTCCGCGATGCATGAACAATAGCTGTTGGAAAATACTTCTCTGCATGCCGGCCTGTTTGACATCATTTCGATATCCCCATACATTACCTGGGCATAATCAACAACACACATGGTCAGCCTGAACAAAAGAGCCAAAACAAATCGGCGCGTGGTAGATGAAGAAACTCACGAAAATATGCCTCATCAGTCCGCTTATATGCCGGCTGAAGCGCAAACTCAATGACCAAGTCGGACTCCTCGCTCGCGTTGCAGAACGTGTGGGCTTCCCGTTTGGGAATCACCACGACATCTCCCTCGGACGCCAACCGAACTTGCCTCTGTCTACCAACGGTGAACCTGGCTGTCCCGCTGATCACATGAAACTGTTCATCCTGCCAGAGATGCCGATGGAGCGGCGGCGCAAGTGAAGAATTTGCGCCCGGATGAGGCAGGCCTTGTGTTCGAGCTTCTGAGGGCGAGAGGGCAGGTGGGAGGCGATTGATGATGAGGTATTTGTCTCCAGGGGGTTTGAACTCGGCCACGGATCGGCCGCCGTCAAAAGTGATGGCTTGCAGGTGACATATTCTGGATCTGGGAGGATGTTTGGCTAGGAATGACAGCATTGTCCAAATTAACTGTCATTGAAAAAAAATTGCGATGTCGGGGAGGCTCTGGTTTGAGAGATGTAGTACGGCCGGCAAGACGGCTAAAGGAAATTCCCAAATGGTTGCCGTGAGGCTTCACAGCCGGGTCAATCGGGAACCCACCCTCCACGGCGAACAATCTTCAGGCCACTCTGGTCAAGGTACATCGGGGGAGATTGTGCATATGAAAAGACCACGAGACTGAAATGTGACCTCGTCGCTCGCAGTTATCATCCCTTAGTTACATTGTGCTTTCCAACCAGAGTCACTATGGTGTAGTGGTAAACGTATCTGGTGATTCAAAAATACAGCGAAAGTATAGCAGTGGTTAGCTTGTCTGATCCCCAATTAGGATAAATAAAGGATTCAGGAGACATGGGTTCGAATCCCGTCTTTCGCAACTCTTTTTGTCTGGGTTCACCTTTAGGTACGGAGCATCTTGTCAATGCTCTAGACAACAAATAACCATAGTGGGTTGCTTTTGTCCCTTTTCACCTTTTCTTTCACCAAGTAGAAGGGTGTTGTTATACTTCATATACATGGCTTCTAGCAACGCTGCATTAGTCGAGCCTGTTGAGGAGAGCTCAGGAGGGAGGTCAATTTAAGCTTTGAAAAGTGACAGTCATTACCCCGGATTTTGGAATGTGGGTCTCATGAATCAAGGACCGTCCTCTTACTAGGCTCTTACTCGACCAGTCTACTGAATTGAAGCCTCCTATATCACTCATGAGTCTAAGTAGTTGTGTTCAAAATTTGGATTGCAGGTGTAGAGCATGTTCAAAGACCCAACAATCAAAGCTCTCAGTGGTAGTGAACAAGAGAAGTAACAAAAGAAGGGTTGATTTAGCCAATACTACTACACTGGTATTTTGACTGAATTGGAGGGTGAAGAATGGGTGACTTCCTGCTGAATCTCTGTCTAACTCCTTAGCCAACTGACACTCTTTGTTTTGTATGTCCATCTCGCCTTGTTCATTCCCCTAGCTACCTTCCCAAGAATTGGAAGACCAACCCAGTATCATTCACAAGCCTTGACCATATGCTAAAGTCTCCAATCTACACTTGATTCAAATGAAGACATCAACCCGAGTCTCAGGCACATAGGTGAAAGCCCCATCACCCCAGATTCCCACTACAGCCATGACAAAGCCAAGACCGGAGACAGCTGTAGAGACGGCTTGCTTCTTCAAGAACCACTCCACCTCGCCGCGAACCTCCTCGCCATTGACGTTATCAGACGACGGCGTTACGGGGCGCTCGTCCTCGATACTACGGTCGCTGGCTGAGTCAAGGGTAGCCTCGCTGTGGGCGTCGGAACCGATCACGTCATAGCTCATCTCCATGCGACGGGTCGCAGGGGAGCGATCCTTTCGGGGTTGCCTGGCACGCGTGGTAGAAGAAGAGGAAGAAGACGATGTCGGCTGAGGCCGTGTGAGTATGTATGGTGCGATGGCATCGGAGACTGCGAGGCGCGAAGTAGCCACGATAATCGAGGTGTACAGCAAGTATGGGTGGCGGAATGCGCGGGGCGAGAGAGCGTAGGCGAGGAAGAAGGCGGCGCTAGATGCGCCGGCGAGAGTGCCGATGTGAGTTCGGGCAGTGGTGGTCAGGCTTTGGAAGGCGCGCGAGGCGGTGGAGGCGGAGGGGAGTGTCAGGAGGGTTGGAACAGTGAGTGTCGAGAGTGTGTAGGACAGGCCCTGCCATCACAAATTCGTTAGCCATTCTTCCAGGTGTACAAGAACTGAGCAGCAAGCTGCAAGAGACTCGAGTCTCACAGATGGGGATGCTGTCGAGGCGGACAGGATGCAATGAATGGATGAAGTCATTCACGACGCTCCGACCCAAAGTGCCAGTGCGGGGATGTCTCGATCTGGGCGTGGCAGAAGATGAAGTGGGTCACTTACCGTCAGCAAGCCGAGCGAGACGGTGCCGACAAATTTGAGAGTAGAAATTCCCCTTGAAGCCATGATGGTGGATGGTTATGATATGATGGTAGAGAGCCTCATCGACAATGGATGCTGGCGTAAGAAATGATGGATGGCTGTGGTGTCGTTGGAGGAAAATGGATGTGCTGGTGAATCGGGCTGATAGACGTTGATGGTAGTGGTTGCATTCACCCCCAGACGCCGCGGGGTATTACCCTTGCACTTCCGCCATGGCAGGGTTACCGCGGTAGATTGTGGGGTGTCTCATTGGCTGTATTTCCTCACTGTACGTCACTTCCAGCCCATCGGTACGTCCCGACAGGCCCGTGCTGAACACATTTACAGGCACATCAGCAGCCTCACCAGATTCCACGAGCTTCGACAACAATCTCAGCACACCTGAAGGTCTGATTTCAGACCCGGAAACTAGTCAGGATTGTGTATATCTGTAACTTAGACAAACTCAATAAAGTAATCGTGCTGTTTTGATGATGAATACAATGTGCTGTACCAGGTCGAGCTCGAAGAACGTAATGCCGCGAGTTACTGGCTGAGACCAGACGCCTGGGACAAACTAGCTGTCTGCTACCTGAGTATTTTCATATAAAACACCGGACAGGCGCAAAAGCCCATCAAAGCTTGCCCGACGCAACTCCGACCTTGTACACCAACTTCTCGGCGCTGACTTTGCCCTCCTGTTGCTCTTTGAAACCCGTCAGGATATCCTCCAGCCCACCCAGCTCCCGGATACGGTTCGGCTTGATCTTTCCGCTGCTCAACAGCTGCGGCAGCATGCTGAGGTACTTCTCCCATACTGCTTTGTCCTCTGGGGTTGCAGGGCCGCAGTTGTCGAATCCAGGGTACTTCAAGGGACGCTCGAAAACCGTGTACACAATCGTGCTCTCCGCCTTGACCTTACTGTTGATGCCCTCGACCTTCTCCCGGATCTTTGCTGCTGGCAAAAGTCCGACAATGTGGCCGCCCTTGGTAGGCGACATGGCAGCCGCGATGGACTCCCAAGTGCCCTTCTCTGCAATGCAGTCGAACGCGTGCTCCAGACCGTCGTGCGTGACCTTGCGCACCTGCTCAGGCCAGTCCTTCTCATTATAGTCCACAGTCGCATCGGCCCCCAGCTCCTTCAATAAATCGTGGTTTCGCTTTGAGCCAGTAGCAACGACAAACAGGCCCGCAAGCTTGCCTAGCTGGATGGCGTACTTGCCCACGGAGCTCGTACCGCCATTCACCAGCAACGGGAACGCCGTCTTTGCAGGCTTGCTCGGCTCGGGCAGGCCAAGACGCTGCACCATGGCCTGCACGGCGGTGGCGAAGGCGAGCGGGATGACCGCGGCCTGCTGGTCGGTGATGTCGTCCGGGATGGCAAAGACGAGGCTGCTCTCCACGACACAGTACTCGGCAAACACGCCCCGCTTTGGATCGGGGCCGATACCATTGGTGCTGGTGCCCTGGACGAAGCCTGCGACGCGCTGGCCTTCGCGCCAAGAGGATCCGTTGGCATCCGCGACAGTGCCGGCGAAATCACAGCCTACAATGCGACCTGGAGGCGCGGCTGCGGCAGCCTTCCTGAAGACCGTTCTCAGCGGGTCGTAGTATAACGACAAGAGCGTTGTGCAGTGGCTTACCAATCAGTTGGGTTTTGCGCGACATAGGACAGCTTCACCAAGACCTCGCCCTCGGCCGGTGTGGGGACGTCGGTCTCCTGCACAGCGACCTTGTGGTCTTCCTGAGTAATGAGGGCCTTCATCTTGGCCATTTTGTATATTCTGGAATGTCAAAAATACTGGTTTACTGCGGCGCCGAGATTGCTAGGTGTTTGTTGACGTCGAGGAATTGTTCGAGGATACAGTGGTCTTGTAAAAAATAAATGATATCACGATACCGGATGGCGCCGCTCTGTGGGGTAGCTGGGTAATTGTGACGTTTCGAAGGTTCTCTCGAGGCGGTGTCGAATTTCACGAAATGTCCTCCCTTTTATCACAGATCTTGATTAAGATTGAATTAGTTTCTAAGCGCTACGATCGTATGCGGTTCCACAATCCCCCGCAAAACGAGGCCATGATTATGCAGGTTCCGATGACTGCTTGCAGCACAGGGCGCGCAGCCAAGAGCATTCAGCCTCAAAGCGAACTAGTCATTTGAGGATCATGGTTCATATTACTAATGTCCGCTTGTCCAGACCGAAGTACTGGGCCAGAATGTTCAAAACCAAGTACTTCGGTCTCCTTGGACAAGATCATTAGTAAAAACAATTTCAATAAACTGTTACAATCTGATGAGGTGCAATGTGACTGTGTTCTACAATTTCAGATCCTACGGACACAAGGAAGTCAACTTTACTTGACTCGAAAAGTGGAACTGGTCAAAGGATGACATGTCATTCTAATTAATAATACACGCTGTTGTGAACAGAAGAAGAGCTAAAAGCCAAAGTGCTGTGAAAGAAAGAAGAGCTTTTTCCAGGTGTAACCAGCAGCCTCAAAAGCATCCCCCCCCTCCCCAATTTCCGACCTGGTTCACTAAAGATTTACCACCGAGACATATAAAAGCGCGAAGAGCATACTAAATAATGCCATTCTAGGAAGGCTCTTGCTAACCCTCTAGGTGGCAAGGCTGACTGGAGGCATACCAGTATTAGGAAAATTGATGTTATAAACCGGATCGCTGGTCAGGGCAGGCTGAGCTCCGAGCTGGTTGGGGCACGTGGGGTTGTTTTCGGCAGGATAGATGAGTGTACACTTCTCATCATACCCGTATGTGCAAGTAGGATTTGCAATATTGTACAATTCGTAATTGTCCTTGGTCCAGTTATCCCCGGAACTGAGGCACGAAGAGATCTGGTTCATGGAGTTGGCAGCAGCAAAGGGTAGCTTGCCTGTGCTGTTGAGAATGTCGCTGCATTGGGACATGTCGACCCATTCGTCTATACGGGATTTAGGTCAGTATTGTTGCCTCCGGAGGCCGGTGAAATTATCTTTCTTTCCAGGGCGGCCTTTTGGGGCTGGGCGGGGGGGTCCACAAACGTACACTGCATGTTAACACCACCACCATCGCAAGTTTGAGCTGATCCAGGCACACCACAATTAAGCTGGCTCCACGCATCATAGGAGATATCGTATGCGCCGCCCGAAGTGTCAACATGAAGGACGGTCAGCGATTTCCCGTTGTTTCCCGTAAGCTTAATACACATGCTATCGCAGTCCACCTCCATAGGCCAATACGCCACGCGATTGTAGTCAATCTTGCAGCCCAAGATACCAACAGAGGAGGAATAGGAAGTATGCGGCGTCACGCTGTAAGTGCCGGATCCAGAGGAAGAGGCTCTCCTCGTGGGGCCAGACCTAGCACAACTCACGCCAACGAGGGCAAGAATAACAGGGACGAACAGCATTATTATTAGGAACTGCAGCGATCAACGCCGACTCAAAAGTATAAAGCAAATTTGAAAAAAGGAAGAAAA